CAAAGACTGAAAAACCTGCATTTTTTTCTTTTTAAAAATTATTTTTAATTGTGATAAAATTTAAGTAACACAAAATTTACCACCTTAACCACTTTTTAAGTGTACAGTGGCATTAAGTACATTCACACTGCTGTGCTATCACCACCACCATCCAACTCCACAACACTTTTCATCCTGCCAAACTGAAACTGTACTCATTAAACAGTTCCCATTCCTCCTGCCTAGCCCCTGGCAACCACTATTCTACCTTCTGCTCCTGTCAATTTGTTTTAGACAGTAGAATGCTTAAATTTTATTTTTCTTTCGATAAGTAGCACCACCTCCCAAGGAAATGATACAATTTTGCCCATTATTTCACAGGACCTACACCTGTCTCCGCTTGTGCTTTGGGTTCCTTCTGCAAAGGATGTGCCGCCACCCACGCCTCTCTTCACGTGTTACCAGTCTTTACTGCACTTCTTGACGACGCCCTTGGTTTTGATTCCCAAAGGCGACTGTAGGGACAGCACTGGGAGGGTGGAAAGAAGTGAGGCTACCGCTGTGATGGGCTTTGCACCAACTGGAACTGCAACGTGAAGGGGGCCAGCAGCAGTGCGGAGAGTGGGCGGGGTTAATACCTGTACTTTAAAAAACAATGTTTCACCACCTCCCAAGAAAAAAAAGGTTGCCTCTAGCCTACAACTTACTCATGGACTATCTGGATGCTTTAACCTTCGAAGATACTGTCAAAGCTAGACAGAACTAACTCCTTATGATGGTAAACGGTGCTTTAAAAAATTCTTTTTCAAAACGCCTATAAATCGTGTGTTCTCAAGCATCCTATGGTCTACAGCAGATGCAAGGAAAGGCTAAGAAAAAAGTTCTTTTGGGAGATAAAGCCTGCAATTTGCGGGGGGAGACGGAAGAGCATGTTTTGTAAAAATACGTGAAGTGCAAACTGCTACGGAAATATTTTGTGGCGTCACGATTAATACAGGCCATATAAACTGTTTAAAGGAAGGGGCCATGCCTTAGCACAGGTGGTCAATGAAAGCTTGCTGGACTTCCAAGAAAATGCAATCCACGACGGACTCACCTGGATTGCACTCCAGCAACAGCTGGCAAGCGTCTTCTCCTTTCCCCCGCAGGACCTGCGCCAGGGTCTCAGCCAGTCTCGGACTGGTTACATAACGCCTGGGCTCTGAACGGTACTTGAACACCCACGAGGGCGATTCTCTGAGGTCCAGACTGGGCAATAGCTGAGGATGGAAGTCTGACAGACCACGGCAGTTCCACTGCGAGGCGTCCTTCCGCCTCGCCACGCCGGACCCCAAAATGCAAAAGCGAACAGCTCCAGTCAAGGCTGACAACGTCTGCCGCGGAGGAAGCCCGGCCACTGGGGCCCACATAGTCACCCTCCGAGGTCTGTCCCAGTGTCTCCCTTAGTCGTTACAATGCCAGCAAACTCTGTCCAGAGCACCCCAACCGCTAGGCCTCCCCGCCGCAGGACCACGCCGGGCATAAGCAATCACTGCAAGCTACGCAAGCGCACCACCGCCCCTTCCTTCTTTACCCCCACTTCCGGTTCCTTCCCGCGACGTCCGCGGATTGTGAGTGGACGGATGAGCCGGGGGCGGGGAGCCGGCCTTCTGGCTTGCGACTGGACGAGTACTCTATGGTCGTGCTCTCTTTGCGCTGCCCCTCTAGCCGCTTACGCTCGATGCCCCGCGGTCGCGGGTGGCCAGCTGCCAGCCGCCGGCCGGGAGGAGTGCGCGGAGGGAGGCGGGGCGGCCGGCGGAGGCTTCCCCAGGGCCCGAGCGGCGGGAGACCTGAGCAGGCTCTGTGACAGCTCGTCGGCCGCCATGTCAGCGAGCGGGGCTGAAGGCCGACTCTGCGCCTGGCTGTAGCTCCTGCGCCTGAGCTCCCAGGTGAGGAGAAAAGAGTGGGATGCGGGTGCCGGCGGCTCCCGGCCGGGGACCTTTCGGAGCCCCGCGCTGTCCCCGGCCAGATACCCATGCTCGCCGCCGCCCCTCTCCGGCCCCACGTCCTCTCCTCTCCGGTCCCCGAGGGCTGCCCGTGCGAGCGTGCCCACTGCTCGGCCCCTGGGGACAGCGCCTCGCGCCCCTCTGCCTCTGGCCTGGGTCCTGCCGCCGAGGCCTCCACCGGGTTGGTGGGCTCGTCCTCCCTCACACCCGTTTCCCCCCACCACTTAGGTTACGAACCGCCTAGTGTCTCCCTTTCGTTCCTCCTTCTGTGCCTGTATTTGCCTTAGTTTTTATTTTTACTTGGTGTGTTTAAAAGATTTAAAGTGAAGATTTAAAAAATTAAGATTTAAAAGCTTAAAATTCCTTTCAAAGCTTAAAAAGATTAATACCTTAGGATGCTTATTTAGTTCCCGGTGCTAACTTAAACACGTACTGTGGAATGCAGTTTAAAAGACTAATTACAAAGACTCTAAAAATAGGATGTGCTAATGGAAATTTTGGCAGTCTCTTTACCTATTGGGCAACGTTCGAAGACTTGATTCTTTGAGAGTGATTTCGATGTTTAAGGATTATACTTTTTCTCTACAATGCAGTAACTCCAAAGTCTCATGACAAGAAGTTAAGAATAAGCCAAAACAGTACAGAAGGAAACCAGAAGAGTGTTGTGGAGAAAGTGAAGGTTCCTGTGGCCAGGATTCTCACCTGGCCCTCGTCGGCTTCTCACTACATCCGTGTGGGCAATACGTTGTTACTGACTCTATATAAAGAGCTCTGCCCAGTGTCGGGGCTGCTGTACAGCTGAACAGCTGCAAGGCTGCAGGAGAGCAGAGACTATAGTGGTGGTGGGCAGGGTAAACGGCTGCGGGGGCAAAGAAGCCCAGAGACAGAGACTAGCTTGCTGCATGCAGACTTGCTCTGAGTGGATAGGATTCTAGTGATTGACCTGCCGCTGTAGGAATAAAGTTGGGTATAAATCCTTTCACACCAAGAACATTCCACTGTCATTTTTTCGGTCTCACTGAATCCATAGTGAACTTGTCCAGGGCTGAAACTCACTGGCAAGACACATGTGGTGGTATGTACACTAAAGAAAAAGGGCACCCATAATGCATACCTTAAAAACTGATTATCTTTAAACTCTTACAAATTCTTCTACATGTATAGCAATAAAATAATCTCAAAAGTTATTCCAAGAGTCATACTTTAATCTTTGTAATTAAGGAAGCTAATGAAATCAAATCTAAAAAGAATGTATACTTTAAGACTTTATTACACTTTTCTGAGAGCACATATATTTTTGTTTTAGCACCTGTCACTTACCATTCAATAATTCAAACACAGTTAACAGCCCAAATTCCAGAATAAAGAACTCATATGAAAATAGTAAAATCACATTTTAATACTTGACTGTATTTAGGATTCAAATTCAAAAACAGTAAGCAAAAGTACAGAGGAAAGAGAAGTAACCCCTAAGCCTCCACTAGTCATCATGTTAAGCCCTTTACATAGGTCATCTTATCAAAGGGCATCAGGATCCTTTAAAGGTGGAACATTACAGTCTCCAGTTTACATGTGAGAAAAAACGGAGCTCAGGCAGGTGAAATTACTTACTTGCCCAAGGATTTTAAAGGTAGTATTTGTTAGAGCTGAGATTCAGCCTGATTTGAAAAGACTGTATTCTAGCCTTGCTGAAAGAAGTTTACCACAAAAGCTAATGCCTTCTCAACTGAACATGTACAGCTTTTTCTACAACAGTTTTCAAACAGAGATATATCATGATTTATTATTACAGAATACAATTTGCAACATGAGTATCTCTACCAAAGCCAGATAAAACAAACTGTTTCTGCTTGAAACATTGGAAGTCCTAGGAATTTTATCTAGGAAGGCTGGGGAGGGCAGGTCAAAGTTAGATAATAATTAAGAGTCAAGCATCCTTCTTGAAAATTCTTTCATTTTCTTAGGAGCAAACTTGAGAGCCTTTGGGTGGCTAGATGCATTGTCTGCTAAGAGCACCATTTATAAGGCCCTTGAAAAGTATGGAGAATTCTCTAGCCTCTAAGCCTTCTTTTCTCATTAAATCAATCAGTTTTTAAATCTTATAGCCCTGTTATCTTGATCTTATAGAAAAGCAACTATTGAGTTACAAGGTAACAAACTGTAAGCAGAAAGACATTTTAATGCCATCTTAATTATTTTGTGAACTGGGCAGAACTCCAAAAACAGGCCTTTTTTAAAAGATCAAGATAAAAGTTACTTTATTTTTAATTCGTAAATTGAAATGACAGATGACTAGGTTTATTACATCACATTTCACAACCTGGAATCATTGAACCATTTTACATGTTTTCTTTTCATGTTTTTGAAATTCCAGAAGATTTAGCATCAATTAAATGACCTGGCTAAAACATCGAATTCTTTTCAAAGCAGTGGGTTATGGAATAACCACCATCTAATGTGCATAATTTTATTAAAAATAAACAAATAGCTGGCTTTGTTAGTCATGTTCATAGCTTTCCTGTCATTATCCTGCACTTTTAACTCGCATCTCTAGGCTTGTTTCCTCATCTTTAGGAGGCTGTGCATGTTTTCAGGAAGTTGGCACACAGAAGTTTAAGTTTCCTAAATTGATTTATAAAGGAGGGAGGAAGAGAAAGATAAAAAGGCTGGCAAAGATGCAAGGAATTTCCACTTTACTGTTAATGTGCACTTGTTTTCTATATAACAAGCAGAGTTAACCAAAACACCCATCTGAATAATGCCCTCACTCCATGCAATTATATCAGAATGTAAGAAACCTTTCCTGCTTCTGAAACCCTTAAATCCAGAGTTAACACAGTCCTATCTCCCTAAGCTTAGCATGCCAATAAGACTCTAAGATCAGAAAAAGCAGGGGCAATGCACAGCCTCCTAGAGATGAAGAAACAAGCCTAGAGATGCGAGTTACACAATAGAGCTAGAACTAGAAAACAAGTCTCAGAACTCCAATCTTTAATTATTTAACAATCACTGACACTAACCATGGTTTAGCCACTGGTGATAAGCAAATATTTAAGGCCTGGTCCCTAAAAGTGATTCTGTAAGAATAAACTGTGTGCTTAATTTAACTTCCCTAAATCACTCAAAGGTAACTGATAGAACAAATCATTTTTATAAACTAGAAATGTACCTCCAAATGTGGAATATAAAATTTTTCACTTTCAAGGGCAATCACTTTGGCACCACTTTCAAGTAATGCTTGAGTCAGGATACCAGGACCTGGTATAGCAACAGAAGGAAAAGTTTATTTGCACATGAAACAACATACATTCTTTCCATATCAAAGGAATTAGATGTTTTACATGTATTACCTAACGTTATCACAACATCCCCAAAGTAGATATTACTTTGAGGAATATTTATTTACATATGAGGGAACTGGGGATAAAGTTATTTGATTCCAACATCACGACTTTTAAGTGGTGCTGCTTGGATCTGAATCCATCCGTCAAAGACTGAAAAACCTGCATTTTTTTCTTTTTAAAAATTATTTTTAATTGTGATAAAATTTAAGTAACACAAAATTTACCACCTTAACCACTTTTTAAGTGTACAGTGGCATTAAGTACATTCACACTGCTGTGCTATCACCACCACCATCCAACTCCACAACACTTTTCATCCTGCCAAACTGAAACTGTACTCATTAAACAGTTCCCATTCCTCCTGCCTAGCCCCTGGCAACCACTATTCTACCTTCTGCTCCTGTCAATTTGTTTTAGACAGTAGAATGCTTAAATTTTATTTTTCTTTCGATAAGTAGCACCACCTCCCAAGGAAATGATACAATTTTGCCCATTATTTCACAGGACCTACACCTGTCTCCGCTTGTGCTTTGGGTTCCTTCTGCAAAGGATGTGCCGCCACCCACGCCTCTCTTCACGTGTTACCAGTCTTTACTGCACTTCTTGACGACGCCCTTGGTTTTGATTCCCAAAGGCGACTGTAGGGACAGCACTGGGAGGGTGGAAAGAAGTGAGGCTACCGCTGTGATGGGCTTTGCACCAACTGGAACTGCAACGTGAAGGGGGCCAGCAGCAGTGCGGAGAGTGGGCGGGGTTAATACCTGTACTTTAAAAAACAATGTTTCACCACCTCCCAAGAAAAAAAAGGTTGCCTCTAGCCTACAACTTACTCATGGACTATCTGGATGCTTTAACCTTCGAAGATACTGTCAAAGCTAGACAGAACTAACTCCTTATGATGGTAAACGGTGCTTTAAAAAATTCTTTTTCAAAACGCCTATAAATCGTGTGTTCTCAAGCATCCTATGGTCTACAGCAGATGCAAGGAAAGGCTAAGAAAAAAGTTCTTTTGGGAGATAAAGCCTGCAATTTGCGGGGGGAGACGGAAGAGCATGTTTTGTAAAAATACGTGAAGTGCAAACTGCTACGGAAATATTTTGTGGCGTCACGATTAATACAGGCCATATAAACTGTTTAAAGGAAGGGGCCATGCCTTAGCACAGGTGGTCAATGAAAGCTTGCTGGACTTCCAAGAAAATGCAATCCACGACGGACTCACCTGGATTGCACTCCAGCAACAGCTGGCAAGCGTCTTCTCCTTTCCCCCGCAGGACCTGCGCCAGGGTCTCAGCCAGTCTCGGACTGGTTACATAACGCCTGGGCTCTGAACGGTACTTGAACACCCACGAGGGCGATTCTCTGAGGTCCAGACTGGGCAATAGCTGAGGATGGAAGTCTGACAGACCACGGCAGTTCCACTGCGAGGCGTCCTTCCGCCTCGCCACGCCGGACCCCAAAATGCAAAAGCGAACAGCTCCAGTCAAGGCTGACAACGTCTGCCGCGGAGGAAGCCCGGCCACTGGGGCCCACATAGTCACCCTCCGAGGTCTGTCCCAGTGTCTCCCTTAGTCGTTACAATGCCAGCAAACTCTGTCCAGAGCACCCCAACCGCTAGGCCTCCCCGCCGCAGGACCACGCCGGGCATAAGCAATCACTGCAAGCTACGCAAGCGCACCACCGCCCCTTCCTTCTTTACCCCCACTTCCGGTTCCTTCCCGCGACGTCCGCGGATTGTGAGTGGACGGATGAGCCGGGGGCGGGGAGCCGGCCTTCTGGCTTGCGACTGGACGAGTACTCTATGGTCGTGCTCTCTTTGCGCTGCCCCTCTAGCCGCTTACGCTCGATGCCCCGCGGTCGCGGGTGGCCAGCTGCCAGCCGCCGGCCGGGAGGAGTGCGCGGAGGGAGGCGGGGCGGCCGGCGGAGGCTTCCCCAGGGCCCGAGCGGCGGGAGACCTGAGCAGGCTCTGTGACAGCTCGTCGGCCGCCATGTCAGCGAGCGGGGCTGAAGGCCGACTCTGCGCCTGGCTGTAGCTCCTGCGCCTGAGCTCCCAGGTGAGGAGAAAAGAGTGGGATGCGGGTGCCGGCGGCTCCCGGCCGGGGACCTTTCGGAGCCCCGCGCTGTCCCCGGCCAGATACCCATGCTCGCCGCCGCCCCTCTCCGGCCCCACGTCCTCTCCTCTCCGGTCCCCGAGGGCTGCCCGTGCGAGCGTGCCCACTGCTCGGCCCCTGGGGACAGCGCCTCGCGCCCCTCTGCCTCTGGCCTGGGTCCTGCCGCCGAGGCCTCCACCGGGTTGGTGGGCTCGTCCTCCCTCACACCCGTTTCCCCCCACCACTTAGGTTACGAACCGCCTAGTGTCTCCCTTTCGTTCCTCCTTCTGTGCCTGTATTTGCCTTAGTTTTTATTTTTACTTGGTGTGTTTAAAAGATTTAAAGTGAAGATTTAAAAAATTAAGATTTAAAAGCTTAAAATTCCTTTCAAAGCTTAAAAAGATTAATACCTTAGGATGCTTATTTAGTTCCCGGTGCTAACTTAAACACGTACTGTGGAATGCAGTTTAAAAGACTAATTACAAAGACTCTAAAAATAGGATGTGCTAATGGAAATTTTGGCAGTCTCTTTACCTATTGGGCAACGTTCGAAGACTTGATTCTTTGAGAGTGATTTCGATGTTTAAGGATTATACTCAGAAAGAGCTTTATTACCCTTTCCACCAAGGCAGGAAACTGCAGCCAATCAACTCCTTATTTTAAAATAAGTACAATCCTTTCTGTTTACTTTACTGGGAGCATAATTGAGCTTGACGTTTAAATGCACAAGGAAAAGGTTTCTAAGGAATGCATCGCAAAGCAAATAGAAGTCTGAAGATTATACTCAGCTGACAAATTTCCAATAGGTAAAGAATTGACAACCAAACATGGCCTTTTTTGGGCTATAAATTTGTTAGGACATTATAGGAAATATCTGGTCAACTGTTGTGGAAGTCCTGAGGACTCATTGGTCTAAATTTCCTTAAATTCTTTTTTTGTATAGTTTCCCCATTGACAATTTTCCATAAGTGACTTTTGCATCCTCTGAACACCTGAGAAAGCTCCCTCATCTCCAACGCCTCAATTCTTTACTAAACTGTCTCCCTGTCTCCCTAAAAAAATATTTTCATAGATTCAAGAATACAGTAGATTTTTTCCCCCCAAGAGCCCTAGAGGTCTACTTTTAAATCAAATAAAGCAGAATGATGTTTTATGCTAGAGGAAGAAATGGCTCATTCATAGAAATATATTGTTTAAATATCTCACTTTTAAAATACACTTAAAAATTGTGGTTAAAAATACATATTTTAAAATATACTTTACTGTTTCATACTATTTGTGCACCAAAGGGAGCCTGCTCAGCCCTAGAGAAACTGATGTAGTTTTTTACTTTGCTTTTGGCTTTGTAAAAGAGAATTAGGTTGTAGTAATTATTTATATTTTCTTAGTGTTCATGGCTTGTTTGTGGTTGAAGGTTGCATGAATAATAAATAGAATCTTAATATGCTTCATTTTATGAGGCCCCAGGTGCTGGAAATGAAATAAATGTTTATTTCACTTTAAGGATGATCCTTGTAATCTGCTCTTAGACTTAACTTTATTAGAAAAAATTTTGTTTTGTATGTTTCCCATCTTGAGAGGTGTGGTTTTTGCATCCTGTGCTATTTTTGCCGTTTTGAAGTAATCTGTCTTTAAAATCGTGTCAGGGCAAAGTGATTTTGCTGATTATTTTTACACTCAAGGTTTTTTTTTTCTGGTATCATTAATCTACAATTACATGAGTGACATTATGGTTACTAGACTCCCCTCATCATCAAGTCCCGTCTTAAGTTATTTTTTAACTGTTATCTCAATTGGTAGAAAAGGGAAAATACTGTTTTTTTCTTTTGGCTTTTAAATGGCAGTTTTAATGGGGGAAATGTCATGTGATAGTTCTTATTTGTTGTCAGAATTAAGGCTGTGTAGATCTATAGCAGTGCTGTCCAATAGAACTATATAGTGCACGCCACATAAACAATTTAAAGTTTTCTAGTCACATTAACAAAGTAAAAAAGAGCCGAAATTAAGTTTACTAATATATTTTATTTAATCATGTATAATCTCAACATGTAATCATTTTTAAAAGTTAATGAGATATTTTACAGTTACTAAATCTGCGAAATCTGGTCTGTGTTTTGCACTTAGAGTACATCTGAATTTCGGACTTGCCACATTTCAAGTGCTCAGTAGCTACCTGTAGCTCACTAAAATGGTTAGGACCGCATTAGTCAGCACATATCTATAGGATTAGAGTGTGATTCTTAAGATGTTTTTCTCCTCTGGGGTAAATTCTATGGGGTAAACTTAAAAATTATTTTCCTGAAGGGCTGCAGTATTAAAAAATTTCTGTGCAGGAGGAAAGTTCCGAAGAGTCTTTTCTTTTTAGTTGTGTTGACTGTATCAATATTGAGGAGAATAAACAGATGCCCAAGTTCTTGTTTAGTGAGGTTCTAAGATGAGTAGAGTGCTCAGTCATTTCCTGGGGTGTCATTGTTAGAGTTATTTACATCTGCATGTCAACAGTGTATCAAGGCACTGTGTGAGTCTGTGTCTGTTACTGTATTAGTATTAAGTAGGGAGAACTTGAGGACCTCTAAGAAGATTGACTTTCACAGTATCCAGGTAGAGTACCTGCTGTTGTAGACTTATTTTCTGAGTAAGTTTCAGGGATGGCTAAGAATTTTGTAAATGTGCTTTTCTATATGATAGTGTTATCAAAGGAAAGAATCTTTTGAACAAAATTTAGAAAGGAAGAGGGTTTATTTTTTGGCTTTAAAATGCTGAGATCCTAAATATGGTGAAAGTAACATGTGTATGGTAGTTTAGGTACATTTAAAAAGGAAATAAAGCAGTTTTTATAGAAAGCTACTGACACATTATTTAATATGTGCTTTAAGTTGTTTTTGGAGCAGGGGTGGTGATTTTTATGGTACCATCTCTTGTTCAGAGCTGTCAAAACTGAAAGGTAACCCTGTTGGAAAGCTAACTTCTTAGCTAACTGACCTCACTAGGGCACAGTAGGGCCCATTATTGTTCTTACCTTGATCTCTGTACTCTAAAACTTTTCTAAACACTACTTTAGCTGTATTGTTGTACATCTACATTTAATTTCAAAATTCAGTATCAAAATTCACCTGAAGGCCTAATTAATATTTAGTGTAATCTAGTAAAAGAAAAGGTCCCCTTCCCAACCTTTATGATATAAAGAAATCTTTAATTACTTGGTCAGTAAACAAACTCCATCTGTAAAATCTAGTAACTTATAGACCTGGCACAGTGTTGGCAGTATGTGGCATATTAAAAGATGGAAGATAGAATTAGGGAAAGGAGGAGTTATTGGATGGTGCTTATTGCATGAGACACGTAATGTAGGAAAGTAGATGTTTTCATTTGTATGTTTTCAACCATGTTAGTTGAAAAAGAAAACATTGTTTTACTCCTTGGAATCAGTCTTAACAAAATCTTTTTTTCTAGTTTTTTGAGGAAGGATAATTAATAGTCTGTCAATTTTCAATTTTTAACAAAGCTCTTTCAGAATGAAGTAGCCTGTATAAGGATTATATTTTTATTGAGAAATTCTGTATTCAGTATATGTCTTGATTACTGTTATGGAGCTCTCCAGTTAGCACCTTAAAGATTCACATGAATACAGGCTTTCCTTTACTTAGGAGTCATTCCCTTAGGAGAAATAATATTTCCTTTTAACCAGGGAATACTTTTGTTTTTCCTGCATTTGAAATAAATCATTTGTAATTCTTTAAAGAAATATATCATTAGTCAATTTTACCTCAGTTAAAAAAGATCTGTCTAAACAATCTAAAAAAAATACATCATTAAAAAATTCTGGATCTTATAACACCCTGAGATTTCTTAAATTGCTTTAGTCACAGTTCTGAGATTCTGCTCTTTAACACATTTTAGAGATGGAAACTTTTTGCCATTATACCACTCCTCCCTGCTATCTCTTAGGACTTCCCATTTTTCATCACTAGTCATATGAAAAAAAAGTTATACTGTGTGTCTGTCAAAATACTGACAAATGAAGTTTATTTTTCCCATTTGACTGTAGGAAGAATTTTGAAGCAGTAAGTAACAAATTTTGATAGATTTGTTGACATTTGGGCATTTGACATTTTAATTGATGGTAGCTAGGAGATTTAGGAATTAACAGTATTTTTTAATTGTTGTATCTATTAAATTATCTTTTGTGAATACTTAGTATGTTTTTCCTGGAAAACTACTACATGACTAAATAATTACATTTTTTTGTACATCACTTGGATTTTGAAATCACAGTGAATTAGGTGGCTGTGGTTTTCTAATTTGAACAAGCAAACATTTTAAAGCACCTTTTTAATTACAGATTTTGAAATAATTTCCTTAAAATAAGTGGACTTTATGATAAGATAAAGAATGTTATTGTTCCTGGGTATTTAGAGCATATCGCTTAATAGTTTAATTTTATGCATACATTGTTTTTCTTGCTCACAATTTCTTTCCTCTGTAGTTACTATACTGTACAAGTAAATTTTGAAAGAATTTTAGATGAATTAAAAAGTATTGCTTAACTTTTTTTAATGAGGACTTATTTTTTGAAATGTATTTTATTTATTGATGTTTATTGGATTTATTTCTTTTTTACCTTATGAACCATCAAAGATTAGTTTTCATTTTTCCACTTGTGGAGTATGAAAAAGTTTTACTTAAATCAGGCCTTAAAAGTATTCATATCAAGTAACCAACATGATTTATCCCTTTAAGTTAAACTCCTATGAAAAGAGGAGTGGAAGTTTGTAGAAACTATGTGGATTAGAAAATGATGAAATTTAGTTTTCTGAAATAAGCCCTATTTATATCCATTTCTGACTTCTTAACCCAAATTCAGTCATCAGACTTTTTCCTCAACATTTACAAAGTTATCACTAGGTTCCTTTTCCTCCAATAGTTTTTTAAAAAAATTGTGGAGTTCTTTGCATGCACATTAG